ATCTCTCTCTCTCTCTCTCTCTCTCTCTCTCTCTCTCTCTCTCTGTATGAGAGAGTGAGCAATATAATTAGTAATATAATTAAAAACTATTAGAGATACTGAATTTTATATGTTTGAATATTCCAGCATCATGAAGAGGCTAAATGAAAGTCTAGGTTCAATCAGCATTTCTGTTACTGTCAATGCACAACATGTGTACAATGAGATTGGCTCTCTTAGTACACACACCCCGGCACAAATACATCTCAATAGCTCACAGTGAAAGAAAGAAAATACCTAATCGAGTAAATCATACTAACAATTCACAGTCCTCTATAAATATATGTGCATAACATCATTACATTACATTATATTATATTGCACCGATGTGAACATGAACAGAAAATTCACCTCTGAGAACTGCTACTAAAAATGTCAAGTAGAGCCAAGATATCATTTTTATACACTTGGACTGGAGATTGTATGAAAAACATTCAGAGTTCCAGCCACCCTTTAGAATTCTCCTTGCAACCTGGGGACAAAAGTGGTCTGGCCTATTTGAAGAGCAAGTTGTCCTGCAATGTACATATTTCTCAAAATAAAAGGAATGATCTTCTCACTCCTTTCTTCTTTTTAATAACCTTAGCTTCTATTGAAGAAATAGTTTGGGGATGGTTAGCAAAAGGCTTGAGTAGCAAAGAGACAGGAACATGATTGTTTATGCAGAACAAAAGGGAGATTTTGTCAACATAGTAAAACAATGCAAATGAAACTTCCTGTCATCCTACCCCCCCAAAAAAAACAAGTGGATTTACAAATAACTCTCTCTATCTCTCTATCTCTCTCTCTCTCCCTCCCTCCCTCTCCCTCTCCCTCTCCCTCTCCCTCTCCCCCCTCCCCCCTTTCTCTTGTAAGCATGATTTGTTTTACTGGTGAGACACAGGGACCCGATAGTTCATCACCTCCAGGGATAATTCTAACAGTCAGCCTTATCTGTAAATATACACCTATATACCAGTAGAATCAACTAGACATTAATTATTTATGTAGACCCAATTGTGGACAACATTAAAGTATAAACTAACTAGATTTTTAAACTTTCTTCAAATGTTCTTTTTTAATGGTTCTCAATAATAGGTAATACATTTGACCTTGATTTTAATATACAAGTAGTTCTCAATTTGCGACCAGTGTCTTAGCAACTATTTGAAGTTAATCCATACACACACCCAAAGCTACCTGTAACCCAGATTTGAAGTTCCAAAATGGTACCTACCCACAATCATTTAACTGTATGTTTTTTTTTTCTTCAAGAAACTATTTTAATTCCCCACTAAGCAGCTAGAGAAGCACTCAAAAAGTACCAAGGAAAGGGATGCCAGACAAGCTTTGTTCTTGTTTTCCTGGGGGTAAATGGTAAACCATTCTTCAGATGTTTCAGCAAACAGAAAATAATAAGTATCATTCAACTACTTCAATATTGGTAGCTTCTTCAGATCACCAATAGAGTAAATGAAAGGGGTTCTGCTGTACTTCCTTTTTTTTAAATTCAGAACATAAAAGCTGATTCAAGAGGTTGAAGGCAGGAAAAGAAGTAATGGATGAATTACTTAATTATCAAGGAGAGATCCAACCTCAAACTAAGGAGAAATTTCCTGACAATTAATCAATGGAAAGACTTGCTTGCAGAAGTTGTGGATGCTCAACAATGGAGCCCAGTTCATTACACAGCTGCTGAAGGTGAACCCATAAACTTTTCAGGAGAGATGGAGATACTTTCCAGGTCTTCTCACATCCCCTCCAGACTCTGCCAACTGGGCCTCAGATTGGACACCTAAAATGAAAGTTGTTTGGTGAACATTCCTGTATACAAAAATTAAAATGGAAAAAGCTGAATACCAAGGAAAGAATTACCTCTGAACAGAGCTAGTAAGGACACCATGATTAACCAAATGATCATTTCTAACGAATGGAAGGGAACTGATAGTATATAATTTTGGAAAGTGCACCAACTTTTTGTTGATGGGTGGAGCCTTTAAAGGGGAAATTGTGCCCTGATTTACATATTGATTGGAATAAAAGAACCTCTCAGTGCATTCAATTTTTTTTGGGAGAGACCTAACGTGTGACTTTCAAATAATGCTCAATTCCTAAGAAAAGTATTGCCAGACGTGCTTTGTTCTTGTTTTCCTGGGAGTAAATAGTTGTTCATATGTTTTAGGGGAAAAAAAACTTGGGTCATAAATGTTAAGTATCCTTCAACGACTTCAATATCAGTGGCTTCTCCATGTCACCAATAGAGAAAATGAAAGTAATTCTGCTGTACTTTTCTGCATGGAGAGCTAACTTCCTTTCTTTTTAATTCAGGGCATGGAAGCTGACTCAACTTGGATGCCAGCCATGACCTATAAGGGATTTTTGTCAGGCTTCACCATAGCTTCCTTTCACTGTGACTGTCTAGCACAGTAATACACAGCAGTGTCCTCTAGTTTCAGGCTGTTCATTTGGAGATAAAGCATGATGGAAGCATCTTGGTGGGAGATGGTGAAACGGCCTTTCACTGAATTGGCTTAATATTGGATGCTCCCATCTCCATCATTCTCTATACAGACAACCCATTCCAGTCCTTTTCCTGGAGCCTGTCTCACCCAGCTCATCTCATAGCTGTTGAAGGTGAATCCAGAGGCTTGGCAGGAGAGGCGGAGAGACTCCCCAGGCCTTCCCACCTCCCCTTCAGATTCCCCCAGCTGGACCTCCATTTGCACATCTGGAAAGGAAATATTGATATGTACATTTTAGTATCCAGCATAATGCAGTCCATTTACCTCAAGCATATAGTTAGCTTCCATCACTTTATGGAAGATCTATGACCTTTGATGACTGCTAAAATGGAGACTAATTGAAGCAAAAATATCATTTTTCTTTCTCAGTGGAGAAGTTCCAGGCAGACTGGCTTTTGCTCTCCAGCCACAAGTTGAGGAGGATGGGAGATGATGTAACATAAAGAGGAAGGTCAGCCCCGTATTTACATACACTTCAGGATAAAAGGGAGCCAGGGTTGGCTTATAATACCACCAAAAGCTTTTGAAAATTCTGAAAGGGTATATAAAGGTTGTGCTCACCATATACTGTAGAATAGAATAGAATCAAAGAGTTGGAAGGGACCTTGGAGGTCTTCTAGTCCAACCCCCTGCTTAGGCAGGAAAGCCAACACCACTTCAGACAAATGGTTATCCAATCTCTTCTTAAAAGCTTCCACTGTTGGAGCATTTGCAACTTCTGGAGGCAAGTTATTCCACTGATTAATTGTTCAGGAAGTTTATCTATTAATGTAATTTTATGAGAGGTTCCCTTCCCCCATTTTTTTAAAAGACCAGTCTGTCCTATTCCTACTTTGGAAATTTCTATCTAATTTGATTTAATATTCAGTGCCTCATCAGAATACTGCTTTTTACTTTTTTTAATACCTGTGTATTAGAATGTATTTCATACTCTATCATGTATGCATAATGTTTTTATATTAATGTCCTTTACTTTGCACTTCGTTTTTCTGGCTATTTTAGACTCAGCGATCAACATGAAATCATTCAAGTGGGTACTATATAAAAAATGGTACACAAAGGACTTGAACAACTTCCATTAGTGAATTAAGCTAAAATACAATGAAATATGAAATAAAAAAATAATACTTTGCAATACTACCTCCACATCCTATTTATTTCTACAGGTTTGTTCTGCTGTATCTGACTGAAGTAAGATGTGAAATTAATGCAAATAACTTTATAAAGTTGAAATTCATTTTCTGTTCTGGCTTCATTATTAAATTCCCAGTGGAATATTTAAACAAAGAGCAGGAGGGGAAACAAATGAGGGATGTCCACTGTGGATGCAAAATATTAATCACTCTCAATAGAATAGGCTGAAGTCAGGGAAAGAAGCCATGGATGAATACTGATCAAGGAGAGATCCAACCTGTAACAAAGGAGAAATTTCTTGACAGAACAATTAATCAGTGGAAAGTCTTTCTTCTAGAAATTGTGGGTGCTACAACAGTAGAGCTTTTAAAGAAGAGATTGGATAGCCATTTTTTTGGAAATGGTATAGAGTTTCTTCCTTAAGCAGGGGGTTGGACTAGAAGACCTCCAAAGACCCTTCCCACTTTTTATTCTATCAGAAGAAATACCAATAAAAAATATATTAGTAAACACTGTAAAACGTAAAAGAGATAGTAATTATATACTCTCAATAAAATGTATTTGTGGAGAGGGCGGAGCTGACGTTGCGACGATACAGCATGCAATCTCAGAGGTCTGAGACTGCAGCCGATATCTTTGCCTCTGGACAGTCCCAACGGACCTAAACCATCCCAAAGAGACAGTGATAGTGAAGGGCGCATCCTGTAGATCCCAGGGATATTGCAAAGTCCCTGGTTGATCCAGGAGAAGCCCTTCTTGCTGGCTACAGAGAGGCAGCCATTAAAGCTGCTGAAGTTGGGACAGCTCCGGAACGGAAGAGAGTGGAAAGAAAAAGTGTGTCAGTTTGGTGAGAACTTTTTTTTATCATTATTCTAAGACTTAAAGGGACACCCTAAGGAAAAGAAAAAATCTGTAAAAGTTTTGACAGAACGGAATAAGCGGCGGTTTTTAAACGGAAACCTCAAAATAAGGCTTGGTTTTTTATTTTTATTTTTTTCTTATTACTGGACTTCTATCGCGATTTAACATTTGCTAACTGGACTGGCTTCTTTCTTATTTACATCTATTTTTTCTTCTCTTTTTTGACTTTGCAATATTTTAGGTTAGAGGCTCCCTTTAGTTACTTTTCTTTTTTTATATACACTTTTGCTTTTTTTTTAACTTCTATTACGTTTTGCCTGGGAAAGGAAGGGGAAAGTGAGAGTGAAGAAACTTTGTAACACTGCCAACTTGAGGCTTGAAAATATCTTAGACGAAGCTGAGAAAGCTGAGAAAGAAAGATCAGAGACTCCCTTTCAAGGACATTGCAATGTGATAAGATAGAGGGAAGAGCACGGGAGAGTGTTATTGCAGGTGTTCTTCTGGATTTCTATCAACAATTGAAGCTTGGTTTTGAAGTTTGTGGAGAAGAGAGTTATAATAAGAGCCTTGGATGATTAAATGAAGTGCAGTGTGCTCTTTTTATTTTTTTTTAAGTTGTGCTACCCCTCCTTACCAGCTTTACTGTACTTCTTTTTCTTTTTTTTTTTTTTAAAAAAGTCTTTATTTTTGTAATATTTCTATTTTTGCCTTTTATTTTAAAGGGAAAGCCTCAAAAATTTTCTTTTTCTTTTTTCCCCCTTCTTCTCTGGGATTTTTTGCTTTTTCCATCCATACTTTTGGTTCATTTTTATGTTTTTATTTTTCTGTTTTTGAGACCTTTTAATTGGATTAAGGTGGTGAAGAACCTGAAGAATTTCTTTTTTTCTCTTTTTCTTCTTTT